TCCTTTCTTACGGAAACCCCAGACTGACACGAGGGCGACTGACTGCTGAAGCTTTATATAAAGGATATTTCTTCTCAGTGGAGGTGAGAAAATATGATTTTTTCTAGTTAAAACATTAAACAAACCAAAGAATATTGGAATAGCGGCCTAACAATACACCGCAATTTCGGTTTATTGACACCACAGTTGGCTTCGTTAGTTGTATTTATATTGGTACAACGGTTGATTCACACGTGTAAATATCGCATGCCGGTGTATGTCGATAACACTAGGGGCAAAATCATGAGCTGAAATCCGTAAAATTGAAATATATCGTTAATATCACGAATGCAGGCAGAAGAGTTAGTACGCTTTAGCCTTATGTAAATTTGTATCCAATATCACGGCGCGCCCATGATCACGCCAAGTCTGAACCATTAAATCGATCAACATTTTTCATTTCAACACAAGGTAAAAGAAAAAACAAGAACGAAAAAGACGCCGTAAGCACGGAAAATGTTTGTAAACGTCGTAGCAAACGTTTGTGAAGAGCAATTAGTACTAGGTTTGGGGGCTGTTAAATGATTAGCCACAGAAGGTCGACTTTGGTGATTGGGGTTTTGCTTTAAGTGATATTTTACCGTGTGGATATTTAGCCGTTTGTTGTTTTCTTTGCTGTTTAAAAGAAACTGAGACTGATCAAAATGAAATAATAAGTTTACTAAATTATAAATTTAATTCTTTATCCGGAATCGGAGATTAAAGTTGGGATCTGATGTCAGGAAGACTTCAATCGTAAGGAATCCTAATGGCGCTTTGTCACGAAATCTATCCAACTTTGAACGCTGGGAATTACACTCTACTGCCATCAAATTGAATGAAACATAAAAAGAACCCCTCATAACTTGCACAGGAAATACAAGAAAAGGAACGGCTTGAAAATCTTTAAGAGGGAGGACGAAGATGTTGCAATCACGTGCTGTTGTTGTCTTGGAGTTGTTCGACTTTTCAGTTTCAAAGTTCATCTCTTTGTTGTTTGTTAAACGTTTGATATAATGGGAGACATACGTGTTTACACAGAGGTTGCTATTTTGTCATTTACCCATTTACAAGCATTAATTTCTTGCCAGACGTTATTGACCAACAGCAACAAAATTAATAATAGACAGCCGTGACATAGGGAGACGGCTTCAATGCAATCCGAGTCTTTACAGTGAGCGCAGGGTCAAAGACAACTCCAGACAAAATCCTAGAGCCCGTGTCTGCATAATAATTTTCCTCCTCTATTAATTTTATATCGCCACTAGGTTATAGCGCTTTTTGACGTCATAAGAAAAAATCTCCACGTAATATATATTTTACCTGTACATTCAGTATATTTTTGTTTATAACTGAAGGTGAAGATTTCATAAAACTTGGCACCGGATCAGTTTCTGGAGAGAGCACCATTTTAGCCCTTGCCATGGTAAGCAGTATTATCTATAAGATCTAAAATGTTGTTTATCTTCATCCATGCAGTTTACAAAACGTAAACGAAAAGAAAGTAGTCATATTAATAAATATTTCAGAAATAACTTGGATTAACTGCAGAGACACCATACTATACTGACGATTTTACATGTGTTTTCTCAATTCCTGTGCATTTTGAAACGGCTCCCGAAAGAAATTGTCTTTGGTGTTATTACAGACAACTAATTGCCAACGAGCAAGCCGAGCGAAGACGGTCGGCTTGCGAGGGAGCCGGCTTAATGCCACGCGAAGCATTACAGCAGGCAGAAAAATTCTCGATCGTGCTGTGAAAAGTGTAATGTAAGTGTAATGTAAGGTGTAGATTCCCTGGAGATTTTAGTAGCGTTAGATTTAACGTGTAGTTTCACGTGACTTTTGATGACCCGTTTGTTGTAAACAAGTTCGGACGTTGTTCTCTGCCACACTACTGTACTTGTACGAACAACAACTCGCTATTTTAAGTTCGCGCTAACCTATGTTATTTCCCTTTCGCTGATTGAAACTCGACAAGTTTAAGGTTCAAAAATGTCTAAGCAGAAGAATAAGAGCGATTTTAAGGCCAAGAGCATGACAGAAATGTAGGAACGAGGAGTGCTGGTAGTGGAAATTCTCGCCTCAGCAGCTGAAATGTTCGTATAAACACTGGAGCTAAAACCGGTGATATAGGCAAATTCTTTTTCTTTCAATGGCACTTAGCAAAAGCTACAACTAGATACATCTATAGCCCTTGAAAAGTGTAAAATGCGATATGGCTGAAAATATTCTGGTGTAAGGTTTTTGTCCAGTGAAAGTAAAATTACTGAATTTCCTGATGGATTCCGTCATAACCCAATTTAGTCCTTTTTCACTTCATTGATAACCAATAGTGTCATCTGTTTTGGAACGTACTGTTAAGCCAAATCCGCGTCATTGTGTCTTAGAAAAATGTGAAATTAAAAATGTTTGCGATTTACTGATACCATTATTAATAGACAAGTGCTATTATTACCAGCTACTGTGTTTTGAATTTTTATGGTAGTTCTAAAAAGGGCGAAATTAATATACTATTAAATGAACTTATAAATCTTTTCTTAGCCAGGTAATGAATCAATGCTTAACTCCAGTGGAATGGGTGACCCTTTTTTTGTTTTGTTTGTTTGTTTGTTTGTTTGTTTTTTACTATTGACTTAAACTATTGGGTTAGCAAAAGTGCATTCACGCTGCTGGGAAGGGGTGCGAGTGATTTCTTGAAAAACTAACAGAGGACGATATAGCTTTGCAAGGAAATATGCTCCATTTTTCGCCTTCCGCTACTGGTTTAATTAAACGAGGAAATTTCGCAGAGGCAAGGCATGTAAATGATTATCTCTAAGCCACAGCAAATCATTCGCCCCATGTAAAGGAATCCAAGACAGTCTTGGAGTCTGGATTCCACCCTTCTGAATTTCGGATGCTGAATTATGGATACTTTGTCAGTGGAAATTGGATTCCGGATTTCAATCGTCAGTTGAATTCTACATTCCTTGACCTGTATTCCGGATTCCAAAATTCCGAATTCTATGTCAGGATTCGCTTATATGAGCGTTTTTGCAACTGTCGTGGAGCAAAAATTTGGAATAGTAGACACATATTGACTAAGTAAAAAAGTATTGTAATTATTTGTTTATTTATTTTTTTAGTTACTATCTTAGCGATCTTTACAAAAGTGATGTGCAGTTGACATAGTCATCGAAAGTATCAACGTTGCCTTAAAAATGACGAATGTCGCACATGAAGACCAAGTGACGTTGAATTCAAAATATGGATTTTGGTTTCCGACAACAGGAACCTAGGATTCTGATTGATACAATCGCACTGAAAAAAAACAGAAAAAAAAAAAACAGACAGAAAGAAAGAAAAACAAAAGCTGCTTAGACTATGAATGAATATATACGTCGCCATTAATTGTATTTTTTTCTGGTTTCACTTTACTAGTTAAGACTGAATAACAAGTGCACTATTGTTGCTTGTATCAGTTTGTTGGCAAGTTGTCTAAAATCTACAGCATGGGTCTTTTTCTTGTTTGATTTTTCTCTGCACTTTTAAGGGGCGTTTTGATATATTTTGTCTGATTTGCGTCTGTCTACCTCGAAGATGGCTTAAGCGACAAATAATCTGTTCTTAATGGGGCAGTATAACGCCCTGCGAACAAGGCTCAATAATGTGGTCAATGCGGACAAAAGTGAATATTTCTGGGAAGTTTTTCATTTTTATTTTTAGCAGTTAGGAAGAAGAGGGAGACCACAAACCGGAGATCGATTTTGGAGTCCGTCCAATTTGTTTGTGAACATAATAACTCCGCTTTCGTGTTTTTACTTGTGATAATGCCAGTCACGTCTCACCATTTAATCCCAAGGTCGAAATATTCCCCTAGAATTTAAATCTCTGTCTGTGGAGACTCTTAGAGTTGCTGTGGTATAAACACATACTCGCATACACACAGGCACACACAAAAATATTGAAACCGTTAAAACGAAGTGGCTTTTGTTGCCATTTTTCTGCACTCGCCTGTAGGGNAAAAAAAAAAAAACAGACAGAAAGAAAGAAAAACAAAAGCTGCTTAGACTATGAATGAATATATACGTCGCCATTAATTGTATTTTTTTCTGGTTTCACTTTACTAGTTAAGACTGAATAACAAGTGCACTATTGTTGCTTGTATCAGTTTGTTGGCAAGTTGTCTAAAATCTACAGCATGGGTCTTTTTCTTGTTTGATTTTTCTCTGCACTTTTAAGGGGCGTTTTGATATATTTTGTCTGATTTGCGTCTGTCTACCTCGAAGATGGCTTAAGCGACAAATAATCTGTTCTTAATGGGGCAGTATAACGCCCTGCGAACAAGGCTCAATAATGTGGTCAATGCGGACAAAAGTGAATATTTCTGGGAAGTTTTTCATTTTTATTTTTAGCAGTTAGGAAGAAGAGGGAGACCACAAACCGGAGATCGATTTTGGAGTCCGTCCAATTTGTTTGTGAACATAATAACTCCGCTTTCGTGTTTTTACTTGTGATAATGCCAGTCACGTCTCACCATTTAATCCCAAGGTCGAAATATTCCCCTAGAATTTAAATCTCTGTCTGTGGAGACTCTTAGAGTTGCTGTGGTATAAACACATACTCGCATACACACAGGCACACACAAAAATATTGAAACCGTTAAAACGAAGTGGCTTTTGTTGCCATTTTTCTGCACTCGCCTGTAGGGCGTACTCGAGAATTATTCTGCATTATGTAGGGTATAAGTCTCCTTGCATTTAGAGACCTTCAGTATTCACAATTTCCGCCTATGTTTAGCGGGAAAAACAGGAAGTTGGAATAAGGCAACCTTATTATCTTTTGGTTTGTTCTTACTTCGTTTGTTGCCACGTATTGTTCAAACTATTTTCGGCATTTTTGAGTGCCCAATCAGAACTTGTCAGGGCGTGCACAGTTTTTAGTACTGCGTTGACAATAAATTCGATATTCTGAACGTGCTCATTTAGTTTTGTGTAGCCATGGCCGGCTTTGCTGCGATCGTATTAACATTAGCTAGCTGTATGTGTTTTGGGACAACGGCGCAGGCCAGCTGTAGCACTGTAGGTGCTGCAGGTTTATTGGGATGTGAATGTAACTTTCTCGGCGCTTGTGATGTTCGTGGAAATATAGTGGTTGGCCTAAACATATTGAACCATTCGCCATACGGTCTAGAACGGTACGCACATGCCAAAAGCGTTGTCTCTGGAAAAGATTTCAGTTTTTTATGCGAATATAACACGGTAGCAATTCTTTATGACTGTAACAATCGAATACCACTTTACTCAGCGACAGTAGTTAACGGAAGCCAACTATCGGCAGAGGAAGGCCGCCGCCCAAGAGGAAGGGAAGGAACATTTCGAGAAAGCAGAACGGCACTGGATAGACGTTTTCAGCAAAACACAGATGACTACTGGCAGGCCTCTAAACGCGAAGTTTACTATAAGATACGAGGACCACCACTGAGAAAGTCGATAGATAGAAATTGGTACAATAAATTGAACCCGACGTCGTCTTCAGGTAATAAGGTTAAAGTTGTGTTGCACAGGGGACACTTGATAGCGTCCCGGTACGGCATAGGGGATCAAGAAAAAAAGAAACAGACTTTCGTTTACACTAATGCCGTTCCTCAGTTTGGGGATTTTAATTCAGGTCCATGGAAAACGTGTGAAGGTTACCTCATTCGGTGGGGTCAAGTTAATTGTTTGAGGGAAGGAACAGCAGATGTGGTAGGAAACGTTCGGATGTTTATTGTTGTCGGAGTGATTCCATCGACCTTTAATGGTCCTTCAGAAACGAGATTCTTTGGTAGAGGTGGATTCAGTAACTACCAGGATGATTCGAGTTTTCGTGTTAACGTCCCTTCAGAGATGTGGACTGCTTCCTGCTGTACCTTTGAATTAACTAGCGGCGGACGAACCGACTTCGTTACCAAAAATACGGCTTTTTGGAGAGAAAACGTTCCAGGAAAGGATGTATGTCGAAAAATAGACGTGGATACGTTGGAAAGAAAGCTAACGCCGAGGGGGGAAACTAGAATTAATTTCTTTCCGTCCTCTAATCAATGCAGGAGTAGTGCCAACTATGAACCTCTGCATTGAGAAGATGTCTGTTTCCATCTTCTCTAGAAAAATGGTCCAAACCTGTAAATTTTCAGCCGTGTATCTCAAAGGAAGCGATTGCAAGAGCCACCGAAACTTAGAGGGATTTGTATGAGAAAACAACTCTTGCCACCCAGTCACGCTTGAGTGGTTTTCCATACAAATCCTTGTAAATTTTAAAATTTTTAAACTCTCGTTAAGTCTTTCCCTTTCGTATTTTAAGGGCTCAAATTGCCTGTCATGAATAAAAAGGAGATTTGAGCCCCATATTGTTGGTTTTCACATGACGTCACTAAAATTAAACTACAAAACTATCGATCCTACTGAGATTTTACTTTCATGGTGCTTTAGAGCAGCTAAAAACTAATTTTCAAACACATTTTCGATTTAAAAGGGTTCTTGGTTTTGTAATAGAGTACGCTTGAATTTCTAGGCTTTTGCGTGACGCGGCATTTACATGACGGCTGAAAGAGCTGTCATTTAGGTTAAAAAAGTGATCTGACTCTCTTCGAGGAATTTTGCTATTTAAACAGTTCAAGTGTTAGAAAAAGTATTACTTTAATGTTTATGAGTTCCTCTAGGGGTAAATTCACGCTTTTGTAGCAAAACTCTGTAACAGATGTTTCTGTTCGTTTCCGTCCGCCATGATGGAGCTCATCTGGATGAGCTCCAGCATGGCGTCTCCATACAAAGCTCTATAAATTTGGGTAAAACATTTCCTCGGATATCTCGTATACGAGTTATTCCTTCAACCCAAATCTTGGCAAGGGTCTTTGTATATTTACCTCCTTTCATTTCCCAGATTCTGGACTTTATCTGTCGAATGGTTTTGATTTTTATTTTGATCTATTTTGGATGGCGTGACACTGAAAACCAGCAATTGCTTAAAATTTCACGACGGTTTCTCAAACTCATTAACTAGAAATACGTGTATCGCAGAACCTCGCGAAGCTCGGGGGGGCGGGGGGGGGGCATAAGGGGTTTGTTAAATAAAGTTCACTGTAAAACGGTGAAAAGGAAGCAAGCTGCCAATGCAGGAAATCGCGGTCGAGTTTGTTTACTCTAGACAACAGAAAATAAGGAAAGTTTCATAGTAAAGACGATAATGGCAAATCATGGGTAGAAGTAATCATTGTTACTTCTTATGATGCTGCAGCGCCGTACGTGTCCTCACAGCAAACAATTATGACGTAAATCTTGTCAAAACTCGAAATGACTTTTTGCTAGACTGTTAAGCCGTCGTCTTGTTTCGTCTCGACCGCGATTTCTTTTATCATTTGTTTGCCCCCTGAGAAACCATGTGACATTGTTTTTGATATGGCTCGAGGCAAGCACATTTTCAACAAGATACTTGGTTTTTTATTCCCGATAACTGTTGCAGCTGACTGTTGTTTTCACATGAGTAGATTCTAAAGGTAGCTTGGAAGGATATCAACTGTGGATATTTGGATTGGATTCATTTGAAAAATACGCGTGTAGCTGTCGCATTTGCCCACTAGAATTGTTTATTGTTTTTACGTTTAAATACAAAAAAATACCAACGGGCAATTGCGACAGCTATACGCGTATGTTGCAAATGAATCCCCCTTGTTGCTGAATGTTTATTTTATTTGGCACACAATAATTACAAAAAATAAAGGAAAAGAGAGAAAAAAAGAAGTGGCGAGGAGACCTAACCTTTACTTTAACAATAATCTGATTATCTATACTTATTTGAATATTACAAATTGAACGCTTTTGTCTTGGTTTAAAGACCATAAATTTAGTCTTTTTAAGATTTAGAGAAAGATTGTTTGCTTTAAACCAGATTGACAGTTTGTCCATCTCCGAGTTCAACATAACTGAAAGATAGTTCGGATCTTTATGTGACATGAATACATTGGTATCGTCAGCGAACAATATCAGATTTAATAGGTTAGAAGCATTGTTAATGTCGTTAATGTAAAGTAAGAAAAATAGAGGTCCGAAGATAGAACCCTGAGGGACCCCACAAGAGATTTCATTTCTTAACGAACGGTGGCCATTATATTCAACATATTGCTTTCTGTTTGAAAAGTAACTTCTTATCCAGTCCAGCGCTAAGCCACGAATACCGTAATGTTTGAGTTTATCAAAAACGATGAGATGATTTACAGCGTCGATGGCTTTGGAGAGGTCAAGAAAAATACCTACGGAAAATTCACCTCGGTCAAAGGCCGTCGAAATCTTGTCATGTAAGTCGATTACCGCGAGTGCAGTAGAATGATTTTTCCTGAAGCCGTATTGGTTACTACAGAGGATTTGAGAAATTCATCAGTTATTGCATTAAACGATAGATAACTCTTTCAAATAATTTTGTAAAGCTGGAAAGTACCGAGATAGGTCGGTAGTTGGTGAAAAGCGAATGATCATCAGATTTAAAAATAGGTATCACGCAAGCGAGTTTCATTTCATCGGGAACAATACCATGCTGTTCTGCCAGACAAGAATTGCATACAAACACCAAAAACGGCTTAAGACATGAGCAGCTGAAATTGTGGTTCTAGATGATTTTTTTTTACCCTTTAAGCCCTAATAGAGTGACCAATATCAATTTCCTCTAGATAATATCAATTAATAATCAAGGAAAAAGGTTATAAGGATTAATGCAATTGTCACCAGAGGGAACATTGATCTTTCAACAGAGTCTCTCAACAAACACTTTGAGGGAATGTATGAAGACCAGTCTGGAGAATTTCTATGTGAATTTTGAGATTAAAAGTTTAAAAGCTTTACCGAGAAAGTTAATCCTGTAAACAACCTTTATTCTCTCCCATGCAAAGTTCAACAGACCTTTCACGTTCCGGCAATGAACTTAGCGTAACCACATCATACGTCAAGTAATTAAAACGCTAATTTACCCAGTGGCCATGGCCTTAATAAAGATGGGCAACTTTAAATGTAGTAGAAAAATTTATTAGCGTTGAGGAATAAACTTGGAAGAAGCCAGTAGGCAAAATAATTAAAGATCGTTTCATTGAGTGGAAAACGTGTGATGAGCAGAAATAAATTTCGGCAGTTTGATAATTTTCTCAAAAGTAAATGTTAGGCTATCAGCCTTAATTAAACGTTGCATGAATAATTTTACTACAGATTTTCGAAAAGGAGGCGATGTCTGTAAATCGTTTGACCAAATTTTCTCGTAAACAATTAACCCAACCTCGTTCCCAGGGTTCTGTCCTGCAAGTCCCTACGTTCTTTCACTTACGAACTGTAATAGGGGCAAAGTCCGACATCTTTATGTGCAAATTGTGAGCATGACATTTGGTATGGTTATGCACACCATGGTAAAAGGGATTTACCACGTTAACGAAGCAGTGGTATTTAGGGACTGGTCAAAAAGTATAGGGGGGGGGGGTGGGCCGGAGCATTTGGAAATGTGGTTGATAAAAAACACATGACCCACCCCCTCCCTTCGGCACAAAAATGACTGACCCACCCCTAAAGCAAGGTTGGAAATTGCATGACCCACCCCCTAGTTAAAACATGGATGGTTGGTTTCCTCTTAATAATCCAATAAAACCTTGTTCTGCGCTTGACAAAATTTGTTGATACACTGCTACAACCAATATCAAAATCACAGAAATCATACCTTTCACTGAAAAGACAAATGTGAAAAACCGAACGTTTCTTGTTTCGATGGACGTTATGAGTCTTGACACAAATATACAGCAAAACGAGGGTATATTGAAATTGTCTGTCACAAAGCATATGAAAATTTCTACACAGACAACCCATTCGTACACATTACTTGCCGGAAATGCTTAGATTAATCCTCAAAGAAAATTTCTTCCACTTCAATGGAAAGCCTTACCTACAAAACCATGGAACTGCAATAGGCACAAAGACAGCAGTTTCGATTCCTTTGCCAATATTTTTCATCACATATATTGAAACAACAACTCTAAGCAAAACTGTCTTTGGAACGACAGTTTGGAAATGCTACATACACGATATCTTTTCCCTATGGGAAATGAGTAAACCTGACATCAAAGCCTTCATTGAACAAGCAAACTTACATCACCCAACTTTTCTTTAATCTTCTTTAATCTTGACCTTAGATTACATTTTATAGTTCAGCTGCATCCAACCGTTCCATGACATGCCAGGAATAAAACAATTTTTTTTCGGGGGGGAGGGGGAATTTCGTTCCTAAAGCTAGCCCAACAAACCAGTTCAAATTATCAGAAGTATGCCTTAAAATTTCCCATTGCTTTCGTCCTAACGTGAAATCTGCCATGTCAACATCGATTTTCCTCTCAAGAGCGCGAAAGAAGCCCGTAAAAAGAAATTTGTTGCGGTTTCATGTTGGTGTGGTCTGAAATGTCATACGTCTCCACCCCCTAACCCTTGGTTGGGGGGAGGGGGGGGTACCTTTCCGAAATAGAAAACTTTGTATTATTGGCTGAACGCGCTGAGGAAAACATCCGGTTTGAAATTGTGTTGACAGGCTAAACGAGACTCATAATTGCTGTGTGAAACGTGACCTTAGATTCAGCCTCTCTTCACGAAGTGAAGACATATCCCGGGCTTCCACCATAGCAGCAATTGACGAGGAACCTTTTAATTCGGAAACTGTAGTCTCGCTTCTCCTTTCATGACCTCTAAATGCACTACCAGTACAGTCGCAGAGACTGTTATTAGCTAAAACAAATTAAAGTAATTGCTAACGGAGGAACTGCGGAACATCGCGCTGAAGACCACATGAAACAATTACTCAATATGCATAAAAAAGACCAGCTTCATGACCTCTTAATGTTAGATCAGAGTGGTAAAAGTAAGATTTTACTCCTTGTACTGCATAACCTAAGCGAAAGAAAGAAAAAGGGAGCCTCTGTGGTTCAAGCTAACTCCAAGTCCGAGGTCACGTTTCACACTATCACGAGCGTATGAGCTGTGTTTAGCCTGTGAACATTTCATTTCAAACTCGAAAAGTTTAACGACCTCGTACATTTATTCTGGAGGCTTTATCGTCAAGCTTCACTGCGCTCAAAACGCGGAACACTTTATAACGGCCATATACATGCTGCTGTTCACTGTTCCATGGCTTATAGCTGCCAAAACTGCAAAACCCAACACTTTCACGTGCAAACTGTGTGACTGTGCATTTCATACAGACTGGCTGTTCACAGCAACAATATTAGGTAACTTGAACTCATGAAATGAGACCACCTCTTTAGTTTTGTAACCAGTGCCTTACGTAAGTGAGAGTTAAAGACTGTTTCATGAAGTAGAATCGTTCCTGGAAACCTTGTGAACAATGAACTATCTACGGCCAATGATGAAACTCGTGACATCGATATTCGATGAGCCACGCTAGGGACCTTAAGCGACGACAGCGTTAACATCACGCATGTCAAAAATGGTATTTTGTCTCTTTCAGTGCTCAGACTCGCCAAATTGGTAGCGGGAGATATAACAGAGGCATTCAAATTCGTTGAGTGCGGAAACGTCTGAGCTGGTTGCTATTCATGACGTCCGGGACGTCAGCGTTCTCATTGCTTAAGCCCACTATTATTTAAGAAACCCTGAAGAATACTTCTAGTCTTCCCTCGAAGCAACGTTTGTTGAGTTGTTATTAATTGTACTTTAAAAATTTGTTTAATTTTCAGCATATGCCTGAAGAAAAGGCAAAGAAAACCTAATCAAAAGCATGAGGATCGACTAAGCTGTGCGCAACTTTTCGCATTTTCATTATGTACAGCAAAACCAATTTCGCACCAAAAAGTAGTCTAAATTTAGGATGAAAAGAGTAGATTCTTGGTACAGTCACACTGAAGCATTCAAAATAGCTCATGCACGTTAAACGTGCCTGTGTTAAGAATTTGCATGTAATTTGTAACACTTCTTTTAACGACTGTTTTGTTTAAGCTTTCCTTGAAATCTTTGGCCTTTGATGCGTTGATTACACCAGACAAGGAAAGTGGCTTAAGCCGCCTGCAATCAGCTTGTATCGAAGGAGATGTGGAAACGTTTACGGCGATCCAGAGTAACAGTCCCAGCAAACTGGACAGTTTTATAGGTCTGAATGTCAAGATCAGAGCCAACTCATTATATTTTCCTAGTAAGTCAGTGTGGGCCGTGTTGATATTACAGCAGTCACCAAGACATAGGCAGATTTTCAAGCGTGTTGAGACAATCTGTCAGGAGTTTCACTCTCAGTCGCTGCTTCACTTGGCTGCAAGGGAAGGACAGGTTCACCACATTCGAAGACTATTGGAGTGCGTCGCGGTTGTTGATGGTTTGGAGAATGATTGGGATGAACCACAGCAGACACCTCTTATGTTGGCTGCCAAATTTAATGACGAGGAGGTTGTAGAATTTCTTATCGAGAGAGGTGCGTCTCTAGAAATGCTAGATAATCAGGATCGCACTCCATTTCATTATGTTGCTGAAGGTGGAAAAGTGAGAAATCTTTTGCGACTGATCGAGCATGGTGTTGATGTTTTGCAAAAGGATGAACATGGTTACTCTGCTTTGCATTTGGCTGCTTCAAATGGCCATACAAATTCCGTTCGGCTGCTCATCGAACATGGTGCTGACGTCAATGAATTTACGAGTTCCTTAGATAACCCTGGGTACACTCCTCTCATGTTAGCTGCTGAAAAAGGACACCTGCAAACTGTTCAGGTTTTGCTACAGAATGCAGGAGACCTACGTACAGGAAACGAAATGGCCTGGTTGCCCTTGCATTTTGCCGCTAAAGGAGACCATACAGAAATGGTTAAATTCCTTCTTGAACATGATGGAAATGTGTTAGCTGCGACGGCCCGCGGGAAAACCGTCCTTCACCTGGCCACAAGGTTAGATCTGGTAATGATTCTTGTCAATCATGGAGCTAATATCCAAGCTAAAGATATTTTCGGAAGAACGCCATTGCATGTGGCTGCTGAAAAGGGACAAACCGACACAGTGAATTACCTTCTAGACCATGGTACTGATGTTAACTCTAGAGACAAGGATGGATTGTTGGCGCTGTACTGTGCCCTAAAAGGAGGTCATGCTACCACAGCTAAGTTTCTGATTGACAGAGGCAGCGAATCCTTGCTTTCAAACGATCCAAACCTATTGAGGTCTTATGAATCTGACTTGTTACAATCCTCTGCCAGAGAGGGTTTAGTAGATATTGTAGAATTCCTTTTAAACAGTGGTGTACATGTGGATGCCGTCCCTAGCAACGGTGATTCCTTGCTGACTCCTCTTGAGGAGGCGGCAAGTACCGGACATTGTGATGTGGTGACTATGCTCCTAGAACAAGGAGCCGACATTAATGGGAATGTTAGCTCAAGAAGAGAACGTCTACGAGAAAGGCAAATAGAGTCGTTCTCATGGGAGGATAGAAACTACTTGGGGAACATATGTCCCTTATATGCCGCCCTGCACGCAGGCCAAGGTGAAGTAGCTAAACTTCTAATGGAGCGTGGAGCTAATGTTTCAAACTTAAAATGTGGTTCACTCCAAGCTTTAAGCGATCTTGCTGCTGAGCATGGTCTTTTCGATGTTCTTAAATTACTTGACAATGACGTGCTCGACAACATGGAAGATTATCGTTTAAAAGGTGGAGATACGATTTTAACGTCGGCTGTAGGTCGCATGGATTTTCCGTTAGTTTCTCAGCTTCTGCAAAACGGCATGGATGTAAATAAAAAGAATGAATTTGGAAATACGGCCCTCCATATCGTTTTCCCCAGCGGAATGCGAGATAAAAAACCTCAAAAGGCTGTGAAAATGTTTAAGCTTCTTGTTTCGTGTGGTGCAGATATTAACGCCATTAACAACACATTTGAAACACCACTGCATTATGCAGTAGATTTTGAAGCAGAGGAATGTATTAGCCTTCTACTTGAACTCGACTGTAAGGTAGACTTTGAAGTCCCCCTCAAAGAGTCTCCACTTATCCTTGCAACCTTGAAAGGGAAATGCAAACTTGTTGAAGAGTTGCTTCAGTGTGGTGCAGACGTCAACCAAAAATGCGGTAGAGACGAACAAACACCTTTACATGCCGTCGTAAAAAGCTTCAATCGCCCTGCACTTGCGCAGATTATGTTACTACATGGTGCTGATTTGGAAACTAAAGACTTTGTAGAAGAAACACCTCTCACTAAAGCATTAGAGATGGTAGACGAGGAACTGGTTGAAGTGTTTTTGAACTGGGGTAGCACTGTTAATACAATGAACAAATTTGGTGAAACTGCCCTTATGAAGGCCGTAGAACATCCTAAAGTATGGATCGTGAAGACTTTACTAGAACATGGAGCCTCAGTTAATGCAACCGACCAGCGCGGAAGATCGCCTCTTCATCATATGGCTTCACACGCTGTGGAAGTCTGCAAGCTTCTTCTAGATAATGGCTCTTGCGTCAATATTTCTGATGACAACGGAGAAACACCTTTACATCAAGCAACGTATGATCCAGAAATCGTGAAGATACTCGTTGATCATACTTCGGACGTGAGAGCTCTAGACAAAACAAATCTTACTCCTCTGCATGCAGCTTCTTACGAAGGTGTTTGTAGATCTGTTGAGCTGCTGATTCAACGTGGTGCTGATATAAACGCTGCTGATAATCAAGGCTGGACGCCTTTACACATTGCAGCTGCCGCTGGAAGATTGGATACCGTTAGGGTTTTGATTCAGAATGGAAGTGATATCGCAGCTGTCGTGAAAACTGGTAGAACTGCTCTTCATCTAGCAGGAAAACGTGGCAGGCGATCAGTTGTTGAATTGCTGATTAATCATGGAAGTGACATAAACTCAAAAGATTATAGGGGGCATTCAATTCTTGGCGCGATGTTTAAATGTAGAAGTTCAGAAATGTTGGACTATGGTAACTGGGACATTGTAAAGTACTATCTAGAACACGGCGGTGACAAGTTCGCTGTCGATGGCGATACTGGTCGAACAACTCTTCACTTTGCTGCAAGCCATCAGTTTCTTTCCACTGTTGACGAACTGTTGGACCAGCAATTGGCACTCGAGGCGAGAGACAAGAACGGAGAAACTCCTTTACACAGGGCAGTTGCAAGTGGAAGCGACGAAATTATAAAACATCTCGTGGACAGAGGAGCTGATGTACGTGCTGTTAACAAAAGAGGGCAGACACCTTTACTTGTTAGTTTAGCTCGTCATAGGAGTAATTTTTTACTTAAACTCAAACCAGACGTACAACAAGTAGATAGTGATGGTAACACGCCCCTTCACCTTGCTATATACAATCCAAGAAATGCACAAGAAACGTTTTATGATCCGTTGCCCTTTTCTACAGACGATGTAAGCTTTCTGTTGAAAGTGGGTGCAGATATTCATTCCCGAAATAAGCAAGGAGACACCCCACTTCATGTTGCAGCCGCGGAAGATAGATATGAGATTGCAGAGCTGCTTATCAAGGAAGGCAGCAGAGTTAACTCAACGAACGTACGTGGACAAACGTGCCTGCACATGGCGGGCTATTCTGGTGCGCTTGATATTGTGGAGATACTCGTTGCTTATGGAGCAGATTTGAATGTTGTTGATGAACTGGGATGTACACCTCTTCACGTTGCATTGACTTCTCATCGCTTTTGGCTTGTGGAGCCTCTTTTGAAACACGGTAGTAATCCTAATGCAGTGGATTATAAAGGTTCCACTCCTCTTCACGTGGGCTGCTGCTATGACGATGACAATGACGAGTTGATGGAATTCGCTACCAATGAGGGCTACTGTTTTGTTTCGACAGATGAGTGGGTGTCAATGATGGTCAGCTATGAAAGGTAAACTATGTACTAGGTAATTTTGTATTACAGACGCTTGTTTTGATGAAGAAACGCTTATAAACTATTCCATTCGTGATTGTTAGAAATTCAAACTCTTGATCTTGTCATGAGACAAAGGAAGGCAGGGAAGTGAAATGATCATTTTACCTTATTGATTTAATCCCACTATAAAGAAAGGGTTAGTTTATAAAGAAGCTTCGTTTTTACGTCGCTGGGGGATCGGTACGAAATGTTAAAAAAATTGGTTGATAAAATTAAAGCGTTTCTGCGAAAATTTGTGATATTTTGAAAGCAACCACGGCCTTCCATGCCAGGTTTAAACTTGCCAATCATGCAAGCCACAGCATGGCAATTAGCTGTCACTCCTCCTTCGCCAGGGTAAAACAGAAACACTTTTAAAGATTACGAAGAACGATTAACAGTGCGCAAAATAATGGGTGAGGGAGGGGCTGGAGAAGGACGGGGCAGCGCCGCCCTATTCCTCAACCATGCGCTCGGTTGGCTTTTTTCATTATTGCTCTCTCTCTCTCTCTCTCTCTCTCTCTCTCTCTCTCTCTCTCTCTCTCTCTCTCTCTCTCTCTCTCTCTCTCTCTCTCTCTCTCTCTCTCTCTCTCTCTCTATGACGATGATAATAGTAATAACAACAACAACAACAATAATAATAATAATAATAATAATAATACTAGTATCACTTGCACACACTTCGGTGTTTTAAATTAAGTCTAGACAAAATAAAATTATCCGTTTCTGATGTTAAAAAAAAGAAGAAGCAAGTTAAAAAGAATAAAAACTCGTATTCCTAAATGGCGCCCTCTACATTTTCGATCTCAGTGTCATGATACTGAGTTCCTTTTTGCCCTAGATGCTCTAAGACAAACCATTTGCGTCAACACCAGAGAGGCCTCCTGCACCCCTTGTTCTCAAAGCGGCTTGCCTAACCATCTCACCATTAATCTCCGTGTACATTGATTCTGAAAACTCATCGTCGATCGGCCCGAAGAGTAATGAACCCAATTTTGCTTGTTGTGGAGTGAGATGTTTCTGTTTGAGCTGCGTCATGGCTTCGTCTGTTAGCGCTGACACACCACCATTAATCGTTCATTCAGAAAACGCACCGCTGGGTTGATTTGGCCTTGGAGCACAGGCTTAGCAAATACCTAAGATCTGTCGGATGGTTCCGACGCCTTGCGTTTTCCGATTCGACCTTCACGTAGTAGATCTTGGCTTGAGACTGTTAGCAGATTACCATATTGCGATTCTGTCTCTCTTCTTCAAGATGAAATAAATCTGCGTTTATAGACAAAGTTAAAAAACCCTCCGAATTTTCACCGAAACGTTCCTCCCTGGACAGGTTTCCCCCAGCGTAAACTCTTCAATTTGCCGTGCCCTCTGTCTGTGCATCCCATCGTAAATTTCCCCTGCTCTCCGGCTCTTTGCGTTTTTTCGAGTGCAGCTGCTTGATCGCGTAAGCTCTGGCTTGAGAGTCCGAGATCTCCATATCCCTTCGCATCCCAGAGCTCTTTGATTATTCTGATATACCATGTTTTCTTCCCATAGCCATCAAGCGATGGTTGTTGTTCCATTTGCGTTATCGCCACGGCCTCGCGTTTCCAGGTTAGAAGGTCGGCGTTCATTTGTTCCGTCCATTTACGTCTAGGTTTGGATTGCCTTCCGTTTGGTCAATCATTTCAAGTACCTTTCTTTGCGAATAAAAACTAATTTAAGCAGAATATCCTTTACTTCCTTCTCTCGTACAGCGTGTTCTTCTACTTTTCAACGCTTTTCATCGCTATCTTCCGCCGCCATCTCCGCTATCGCTGTTCAATAATAATAATAATAATAATAATAACAATAATGTTGGGTTATAACCACTGGTTGCATGAAAGTAGCACAGGGAAAGATAACATGCAGAAGTAAACAGTTACTCCAAAAATTGTTGAGGTTTGTAGGTTCTTATATAACTCTCAATTTTCTCATATAATCCTTTTCGGTTCTCCATAATGGATCGGCAAAAATCGGAAAATCGGCTTTGTACGCCGGCCACTTTTCAACTTGCAAAATTTAAGGTGTCGGCCAGTAGATTGCGGCACCCGATTGCTTTCTATATATCTTAGCTTATTGTTTGTTGGCAATAACAGTGTTCCATTGTCCACTTTCTCAGCTTCATTTAATCGTAGATAGTGTTGCTTTCACGTTTTACTTACAAGAAAATTTCGTTTTTAGTGATCTCGAGGCCAGAGATAATAACGGATGTGCCCCTCTTCACCTGTGCGCTGTTTTTGATCGAACAAAAATTGCTCGCCGTCTCCTTAAACATGGAGCCAATGCCGATGCGAGAGACAATGAAGGAAGCACTCCTTTACACCTTGCCTCAGCTTTTGGCGATGATTTAGCGTCAAGAGATAATGAGGGCGATATGGTTTCGCTGCTACTTGCACATAAAGCGAACATCACCATAAGGGATTCTGAAGGAAGCATCCCTCTCCATACAGCCGCAGCATTTGGTAAGACCGGAATGGTGCGAAGATTGATTCTTAAAGGCAGTGATGTAAATGCGGTCGACAGCAATGGAGACACACCACTGCACGTGTCTGCAGGCTCAGGGCACCTGAATGTTGTCCGCCTGTTGGTGAATAATGGAGCAGATTTGCTTGCGGTCGATAAGGAAGGCCTTACAGCAGCGGCATGTGCTGAAAAGTTTGGTCACAAGCAAACAAAGCAGTTTCTTGAAGAGAGTCTCTACCGATGCTCTTAATTTTCTGTTGTCATTGTTCGTGTATCGTATGATGTAGGCTTCGCACTTAGAGGCTTGGGGCTACTCGGGAATGGCTTAATTATTTCGCAAAATTTTGATAGTTAAGGGGGGTGGGGGAGGGGAGCCATATGGTAAATTAAAATCACATGATGGTTGTGAAGTTTAGGTAGCCAATGTGCGAGGACGAGTATAAAGAGGCCCTTATTAGGAACAAACATTAACAAAAAACACAAACGCTTGTGCTTTAAAATCTCGGATAGTAGAAACATTTGTCAAACATTAGAGATGAAAACATATCCTTATTGTAAAATGTTTTAAACCACGTTCCACTGATTTATTCAATATTCTTTTATAATTATGCTCCTTTGCATGATGATAATGTGTTTGAATTCACGGGCGTTTTGTCGTTTTTTGAGTGGAGAATAGTCTACGCGTAGTCAGGGGGGGAGGGGGCGGCTACACGTAGGTTAAGTGAAAAACAGTATTAAACTTCGGTTGGTCAAGTTTTCGTCAAAGCCTTAAATTAGTTATTTAAATACATAGCTTGAGTGTTTTTCTCTGAAATTCAGCATACAGCGGACGTATGTGCACGTTGTGCTCATCAATCGTACTATTTTGTGGCGCTCTTACAATAATGCCGTGCATGATGTCTCTCTTATTTCTGATGATTATTGAATTGAGGTAAATAAATCAATCACTCCACGGGCCTTTTTACTTGACATTGCCCATGACTTTTTTTGTGTAAGTAACATATCAACGTTTCAGTTATTGCTAGTCCTATATTAGCTGTTAAGTTATTCTAGTTATTCTATTCTTACTCTTATAAATTTGTTGTTGTTGTTATTGTTGACTGAATAGCTGAAACACTCCGAAAACGGTTCTTTTCTTAACATTCGAAGACAAATAAAATGATTCGTTTCTACAATCTTGGACAAAAATGTTAAGAAAACTGCACCTCGTATGTTCAATTTTAGAATACTTCACTTCAAAGACCGGTACACTCATGATACTTCCCCCTCCCCCCCTCCAAAAAAAAAACAACACTGATCAGGGAGGGGTGGTGGAAGGGGCCACCATGATGCTAAATTCATCTGGTGTGTCCGCCGTTCATAAGAAAGTGTAAAATTCTTAACACTTTTTGTCCAAGATTGTAAGATGTTTCGATTTCTAGACTTAAACTTCTTCAGTAATAAAAGAACTATCGACCAGACTTAAGGGGAAACCTCGTTCCCAGTCTCCCTCTCGTTTTCTTTCCTTGCGTACGTTAATAGGGACCTTACGATCCGGCAACGGCCACGCCGATGAAAACGTTGCTTAAGGTAGACTTTGCACTCTTTCAACTTTTTCACGATTATTCTAGGTCGCCAGGTTACCTGAAAGAAGCTAAGGGAAATCAGCCGGTAACTGAAGATACGGAACCGCGTCCGAGTTCATTAAAACACAGTAAAATTTTTTCGCTTTGCCTTTCCTGTTGTACATGTCAAATATACTTAAAAATTTGGGCATTTCACGTCGTAGTTGTGCACCGACGACAAAGAAATTTGCGTGAAAAAATAAAACAGAACAAAGTAAAACGAACAAACACAAAACAGATCATTTTCTCTGTTAATAAAAGCCATTGCTTTTTGGGTATTCCAATTGCCGTAGCTGTCTCATTTTCGTAAGGTCCCTAATAGACCTCTTTAGCTTGTATGTTTTGTTTTCGTTATACAGGTCATGAACATTTACCGAGTTGATTCTGATTGTAATAGCTTGTTGTTGTTGCTGTTGACATAGCTGAAACACTCTGAAGAGAGCTCACTTCTTAATGGTCTATGATATCAATAAAAGTTCACCTTTGAATACAAGACTCTAACTTTCGCAATATAGTAAATAAATATCGAGGAGCAACGTAACATCCTTTGCAAAGACAACGGAAGAGGAGGGGACAATGATGACGCGCGCAAATATGCAAACTGACTTAACAAACGCCAAAAAGATGAGTTGGGTACCAGAAGTAGTCTAGTCTTCCAGCGCTTGCCTTCCCGATTTTATTGAACGTTGTATGTCTGCTGAACTTCCGCATGGTCTACGGGCAACCTATCTTTCTGGTTCGTAAATAAAAACAATATTACTAGAAGGGAAGGCATGATTAAAATTATATGCCACTNTGCGTACGTTAATAGGGACCTTACGATCCGGCAACGGCCACGCCGATGAAAACGTTGCTTAAGGTAGACTTTGCACTCTTTCAACTTTTTCACGATTATTCTAGGTCGCCAGGTTACCTGAAAGAAGCTAAGGGAAATCAGCCGGTAACTGAAGATACGGAACCGCGTCCGAGTTCATTAAAACACAGTAAAATTTTTTCGCTTTGCCTTTCCTGTTGTACATGTCAAATATACTTAAAAATTTGGGCATTTCACGTCGTAGTTGTGCACCGACGACAAAGAAATTTGCGTGAAAAAATAAAACAGAACAAAGTAAAACGAACAAACACAAAACAGATCATTTTCTCTGTTAATAAAAGCCATTGCTTTTTGGGTATTCCAATTGCCGTAGCTGTCTCATTTTCGTAAGGTCCCTAATAGACCTCTTTAGCTTGTATGTTTTGTTTTCGTTATACAGGTCATGAACATTTACCGAGTTGATTCTGATTGTAATAGCTTGTTGTTGTTGCTGTTGACATAGCTGAAACACTCTGAAGAGAGCTCACTTCTTAATGGTCTATGATATCAATAAAAGTTCACCTTTGAATACAAGACTCTAACTTTCGCAATATAGTAAATAAATATCGAGGAGCAACGTAACATCCTTTGCAAAGACAACGGAAGAGGAGGGGACAATGATGACGCGCGCAAATATGCAAACTGACTTAACAAACGCCAAAAAGATGAGTTGGGTACCAGAAGTAGTCTAGTCTTCCAGCGCTTGCCTTCCCGATTTTATTGAACGTTGTATGTCTGCTGAACTTCCGCATGGTCTACGGGCAACCTATCTTTCTGGTTCGTAAATAAAAACAATATTACTAGAAGGGAAGGCATGATTAAAATTATATGCCACTCAATCAGTAGTCAATATTTATTTATTTATTTATTTTTCAGTAAATGTTCGTTATTTTGGACGTTTGTCTGCGTAGCAAGCGGTTTTTTTATGCGTTTTCTGTTTGTGGGTCTTTTGGTCAAAAGGCGTGCGAAAGCGCTGGTATAGAGGCAGAGATTTCGGTCGGTGCGGTTTTTTTCTCTTCTTCGCCAGATGAAAAAGTGACATCAACATTAGTCCACCAGCAAGACTCCCTCAAACAAAAGGAAAGACTTCGTTGCAGGCTACATCAACATACTCCCACCCTCCCCCCTTCCGTCAACCCCAAGACATTTGACTGTTTAATGTGACTAGGGTTCGGGAAGACGGTGATTGGTTATACAGGTGCAAGACTCTATATGGGAGGGGTAGGGAACTTTAAAAAAATGACTCTAGAAGTAACACAATTACTGGTGACCCAGTAATTTGTAGCGGAAAGTCTTCGTCAGACTTTTCAATTTTAGAAATTGCTGAAAAATTTTACTGTGATCATAATATTAATCTGGACTGAGTTGCTCAAAGCATGGTTAGCTTTAACCATTGGTTAAGCAGTATCAAAACCAATACGTTGTCAAGGTATTTAACGCTGGTTAACGCTAACCATACTTCGAGCAACTGAGCCAATATTTTCCTCTTGATGGGGTGAGCAAACATGTTCACTCTCAAATAATTAAATACAAACCACTTCTTAAGTCATGAGCCTTTTATTTGAAGTTATACAATAATTATTGTAGGTACTTTGTGACAGGTTATAAAATACTGCTGTCTCTGCAATTTCATGTACCAGTCATGCAGACAAGATTTTCTAAAAGGCACCAGCACAAGACATCAGACAAATAGACTAGTAATCACTGCCATTCTTCTAAGGTTTTTATTTAGGGTGGATCAATTTAAAGCATACCCAAATCATGGTCATCACATTTACCTATACTAGAATTTTTTCACTGCCTTAATAAAGCTCAAAATTAAAAATAATTGTAACAATAATAAAAACCAGCAGCAGGTAAATGGGCTCAACCTCGGTGTAACAATTTGTAAAACTCATGAGTGGCGTAAAGGAATGGAAACAAAGAAGTCAACACAATAGAACCTATAGGAATACAAAAGGTGCGAAATAAAGAAAAATTCACAGGTTCTTACACCGAGGTTAACCGGGCTTAGGCGAAGTCTTTACCCCCAGACTTCTGTAAAATAAGTCCACTACAAACAGATTGACAATGATCTTCGCCATAGACAAAAACAGTTTATACTTAACAAACCTTACATATAAGCTTACTGCCACAGTAACTTCTTAGTCTAAAATAAATTTCACTCACAAACTTTCTTATATTGCTAACAACCTGACCTAACGACCACGATGCATAAATAAACATTTACTGCCACGTATAAACACAATCTTAACCTTGAACATCAGCTTTCCTTTGGGTCCCCACAAAGCCCAGTGTCTACTTTGTCTTGAAACAATGTTCATGCTTGAACACTTTTCATGGCTGAAACCATTTCATTCATACTTGAAATTAGACCATCTCTGAAATTTTATTTAATGCATTCACAAAATTATTTTGGAATATATAATTATTTGCAACATGAGTTACTGTTTCATTGACTCAGAACCCTTTTTTAATGTTTTCTCTTTGTTTTCCCCTTTTAACCAATGCAAGAATACCTAGAGATAGTTTTTGAAAATGATAAACAATACAAATAGTTGACTATTAAGTGAAGATGCAGTCAAAGTGTGTGTTCCTCAAACAATGTCAAAAATAATTAATTTAAACAAACATAACGAAAAGAAATCGTTACTCGTTAGGGAAAAATGTACAAACGTGCAGTGGAATTGAAGTTGGGACTACCAAGATCAAACCCAGCTGCTGTTTGCTGTTTGATTAGTCATGGAGGCCTCTGGATTGCAAGTTCAGCCCATGTCTAGAGTGAATGATAGGATCTTGTAAGGTGGTGCTAACTGTTCAGTCCCTGGACAAAGTTCTTTAGTGTAGCCATTCAAAATAATTAATGAAACCTTTTTGGCATTACATTTTACATGTAGTATTTGTTTTGTAGAATTTTTTATATATATAAAAAAAAAAAATGGACAATTTGTTGAATTAGCCAGGAAATCCAGAGTTTCTTCACTTCTTACTTAGTTCCACAGTTCTAAAAGGCGTGGAAGTAGTGAATTGTCTGACAAAGTGGGGATCGATATTGTCGCTCTTTTCCTCAGTCACGAACCCCATATAATTCTTTAATTAGTTCTACACTTCTCAAAGGTATGAAAGTGTGGAATAGCCTGACCAAGTCAGGATAATATCTCACTTTTTCCCCAGTCATGAACCTCTTGTCATTCTTTACTTAGTTTTACACTTCTCAGAGGTGTGGGAGGGTAGAATAGTCTGAAAACGTCGGGATAATGACGCAGGTTTTCCCTGTCCCGAACCCCTTTTCATTCTTAACCTAGTTCTACACTTCTCAAAGGACGTGGAAGTGTGGAATTGCCTGACGAAAAAAAAAAAGGCAGGATAATGTCACACTTTTCCCCAGTCCCGAACCCCTTGTCATTCTTTAGTTAGATCTACACGTCTCAGAGGTGCGGAAGTGTGGAAAAGTCTGACAAAGTCAGGAAGTTGTGACACTTTTCTCCATTCACGAACCCCTTGCCATTCTTTACTTAGTTTTACAGTTCTCAAACAACACCCACACAACTGTCTGAAAGACAAGGTTATTTGCATTAACAGACGTACATGTACGATATTTTGTTTCACCGCAGCATATTGATGTTTCACATCTTTACACCTACAAGAATCCTGACTTTGTCAGACGTTTCCACGCTTCCACATCCCGGAGAAGTATAGAACTAAGTAAAGAATGAGTAACAGGGGAAGAGTGCGATATTATCCAGACTTCAGTCAGACTATTCCACCCTTCCACACCTCAGAGAAGTGTAGGACTTGGAACGAGAAAGGAAATTTGGGATCTTCCATACTTCCACACGTCTGACAAGTGTAGAAGTAACGATAAAAAAGGAAAGTTCCTAAAATTCATTTAGACCTCGGGGGTAGTCCGTGGACCTGGTCCACGAAGGGGTCCATGGACTAGGTCCCGAGAGGTGGTTCATGAACCGTGGGTTTCATGTCCAAACAGCTCCGATAATCAAACATTAAAACCTTTTCCGACCGTATGTGCTCCCTATTATAAAAATTCTAAGCAAACGTCAAGGTCAAGACCTGGGAATTTCCTCTTTGCTTTTATAAAACTAAATTTGCAAAATTGTGGGATAGGTTGGCATATACAGAAAGAACAAGATGAAAAATGTCCACTTTCTATAAATCAGCCCGTTAGCGCAAATTGGTGCGGAAATGTATAAAACCGTTATGACTCCTCATAAATCTTGTAAAATAGGCCTGGATCGTATTTATAAGCGTTACAATCCAGGCCAATTTAAAAGGATTGTATGGGGTCATCGGAGCTTGACGGTGGTTATATTTCCCCACCAATTTGCACAAACGGGCTGATTTATAGAAAGTGGACAATCTTCATCTTGTTCTTTCTGGATATGCCAATCTATCCCATGCTTTCTCAAATTTCAGTTTTTGTGACGACACTCTTATATATATATATATATTGACCCAGATAATGTCAGCTCCAGGTCTTACGCTGAATGGAAATTGTGTGGAGACGGAAGACTCAAAACCCCAAAGTGACAGTTACAAAATCTGGGTCACTTGAGTTTCCCAAGCTTACCAGTAAACGCCCCTGAACTAAACGGATCATTGTGTTTTTCCTTCATATTTTTTTCCCACACAAACGCTAAGTCACCTTGATTATAATTTCTTCAGTTATCTAAGATTTAAAACCGACACACAACGCAGAGAAAACATTTCGGCGAAGACAACAACACGCTGTTATATGCTAAATCCACACGCAACGATGGTCGTTAAACGTGCCCTAGTATTTAATATTCTCGAAGGTAGATACCCCATGAAAACATAAAAAAAAGTTTGTCGTTTTTGATGATTATAAATACACAAACGCCTTTAGCACAAGCGTTTAAGTCAGTAAAACCTTTGGCTAGCATGCTGTAATAAAAAAAGGGTCTCGGAAAGGTCTCAGATCCTCTCAGTTAATCCGTTGTTAAGCAACTTCCCCTACTGAGACTTTTTGGGACTTTTGATATGTTATTAAGGGTACACATCTGAGTCTAAAACAATTGTATCTTCTGTTGCAATTAGCTGCAGGTTAACCTACTTTTTGACTCATGATTGGGGGTATCCATTTTAGTCACAACCCATGCTAAACCGTCAGTGTAATAGTAGATAAAATTATCCACGTGCGAATCATCCTCGAAAGTGTATTAATACATAACTCTTCACGTGTTTCGCATCACATTTCACTGAACTACTTCACTTTAGCATCGGGCCTTAATATCTTGGGGCCTGGAAAAGGCTGCATTTTTGTGGAGAAAACAAAAACGAATGACAACAATCGGCCGGATTTTTAAATTAGCTTTTTTCTTTAGACAGAGATATCGACCCTAAAAATCGTCAAGTGTAAATTAGCCGTCTTCGAAGTATCGTAAATTCAATATTGAAACCAGTCTTAACATCGTTAGATTAAAGAACTGAATAGCACACCAACTCACCTTAGAAAGTGGCATGGTGGGTGTTGGAAGTTTCGTTAAAATAGACTGGGCAGCCCGATCCTCAAACGTTAAAGTACGGTCTCTAAAGTTACGTAAAATTTGTTAATATATTTGTAATGAATTTAAGTTTATTGTTGTAAGTATATTATAGGCACACAATGGATATCTCTGTCTTTAGGGTTGGCAAAATCTATGTAGTAGTGTTAACAATGTAATTAGCCAGAAAAGGTGCACTTTCATTACGTAAATTTAATTACCCCCGGTAAAAACTAGAAGTAGTCTTTGAGAGTCATTGTAATAAAACACTCTTGTTGTGTTAAATTGATCACCGCTAAGGCCTCTCCTGTACTCTCTGAATATCAAAAGAGAATAACAATTACAGGTATCTGTATGTGAAAATATGAGCCCGATATACCAAACAGTTTCGAGGAAATTGTCTTCCATATACTCGAAACTTTACAATGAATGTAAGAGCTCATTAACGCTTTTGCCATGCAGCGATTTTGCAATTGTTGATAACGGCTATTTCCTTTGTTATTTGTTGCAAAGAGCTAAAAGTTGCTCAAATTAACCAGCCCTTTTAACTTTTGAATTAACGTTGTACTCGCGGTGACGTCTTAATTCTATGGGTTTATTCCAACGCAAATGAGTAAAAATGTAAACAATTAGGTCGACAAAGATATGCCTATTCTCATCTCTCTTGTCACAATGAATTATTCACAACTTTAAGGGAAAAATTAACAATGCAAAACTAGAATTACACAAAAAATTATATCCAAAGTATATCAATTTCTTTGGCTTTAGATTATTAATGTGTTTATCAATCTTATTTTGCCTCTGTAACTTTAGTGTAATCTTTCCACTCAAAATGCAGCTCGGAATGCATATCTTTCTCAACAGCTGTTATCTGCTGTTTGGAATACAACAGGCAGTTGCCCTTGGCGTTCTCACACCAACTTCCTTGCTCACGTTTACATATCACAAAGGCTTGGCAAAAAGCATCTTTTGAACAAGAGGAAGCACACTGTGTACTACCACGACGTGGCTGATTTGCTTTGACTTTGAGCTGAGACGAAGTAAAATTTTTCCTTTCTCGTTGCAGTTTCGGTAGAAAGACCACAGTCTTGGACCATTTGGAATCATCTGTACTGTACTTTCCTTTAGAATCAAGTAGCTTGCATCCTCTCCACGCAAATTGACCTCCACCGTTGAATACCTCAATTGCTACACAATCCGCCTCCAGAAGGCAAATAGCTCTACAATCAGTCTCATCTACTTCCCGCAAAAGTCTTTAGCCTGAAAGAAAAAAGGCCATTTTTTGAAACAGAGAAGTTCACATAGGAAAGTTTTACTGGCGCCGATTTTGTTAACACATCGTGCGATGAGACTTGAACAATTATGGAAACGTAATTCTTGTCTGTAAGGGAAGAAAAATAATTCATAATCGCCAAGCCTGATATATGTCTGTTTTAAGTGGGGTATTGTCGATTCGTTATGATGTAGTAACTTTGACCTTAGAGTAGTAGTGTGATGTGGAAGTTTAGACCTTTAGATATTTTTAAGAAAATCCAATAACATTTACCAAATTGACGTACTCCGACACCTTGCAGGAAAGTTCCTAGATTGATGCTGTCATCGCACGAATCTACCAGTCCCTCGTCTTTCAAAGCCTGGTAGTAATTCGTGGATGCATTAATCAGCTTCTCTCGCACAACGCCTATGTTAAGCCCAGGAAGATGCTTGGAATATCTTTCAGTAAACAGGTTGTGAATGGCTGACAGGGAGTATGTTATTGGCACTGGATTCTCCTGGACAGAGGAGGCCCATATCAAGGCATCACCGTTACTAGGAGGGGCTGCGCCTACAGTGGTGGTGCTTGTTTGTACTGACTTCTGAAAATTGGAAGCCGCAGATCTTTGGTCTTTATCCATTGAAAAACCCCCTCCAACACTCAAGGCCCCTGAATAGCTGGCTTGTGCCTCAACGCTGAATTTCTTGCTTCTGAGCTCTTCGTATTTTGTCTGACTGACTTTGTGGTTTTTCGTGAATCTTGCTCCGAATGTTACCTCCGTCACGAAATGAGTTCCGTAGTATTTAATGATCTGAATAACATCATTTTTGTTAGCATCTGGTTTAGCTAGTCTCTTTGCCCAGCGCACAAAACCTGGTTGAAATGGCGGTGGATCGGTGAGGTCCACTTTGCTGAAGTAATAGTGGCACTGCGCTTGGGAAATTATGTACAAGAACTCTCCTGACGACATTTGTGCCACGGATTCTGAATAACTTGCACTTGCGGAAAACTTGAAGCCCCATCCACCCCTTAAAATAAAAGCAAACAGTCTTCTAATTTTAACACTTAATTACTTAACAAATGAGCGATTTTTCGAACGCACATTGGTGGAGAGCCATGTTTTAAGACAGTGTATACAGTGTACTGAATATGATAGTAGGGAGCGTAAGCAACAAGGACGGCGACGCTTCAAACTTTTTCCCTCTTATTCCATCTCGTTAAATTCGTCAAATTTTGGCAATTTTTTTGTGGAGTTGAATTCTAAAATACTGTATCGAAGTTCAGGAAAAAAAAAAGAAAGCCATTCTGTTGTGTTCACGTCCTCCACAAAGCGTGAAAATAGGCATTTTCACGTCGTAGTCGTGCAGTGACGGCAAAGAAATGTACAGAAAAGTGTACAGAACTTTTGTTTTGCTGATCTAAACTTATTACTGTTTTGCCGTTCCTCGTTGACGTCGCCTTCCTCGTTGCTTAACCTCCCTAATACCCTTGCGCACTGTGATTGGTCGTTGGCCATGACTTGAGTAAAGAAACATGGCCGGATGATGTCTGTTAGGTGACGGGCAAATTCCATTTTTTCTCCTCCAAAGAAAGACACCGACACAAAAATGTTCTTATAGCAGCATGAAAATTTCTTAACTGGAAAAATTCGCAGCAGTCCAGCGTTACGTGGTAAGTTTGTCTTCTCTTCTCTTCATTGTATAAGACAAACAGATTCCATTTTGCTGCGCGTCTGTTTAGTAATAGATTATAGAAGAAGTCAAAATTTCAGTGGAAGAACATGAGTATCAAACACACTCGCGGGCAGCTTGTGAGCAACTTTTCTGTTCCTCGCTCACTTTGTCGTCATCTGTGAACTATTATATTATTGAACAGACACTTGGCCAGATGGGATCTATTTGTTAAATACACAATGCAGCTTTGTTGTCTACTTGTTGGCGAGGTCTTTGACGTTTTAACTCTATTTTGTTAGGAAGGAAACCAGTGCTAAATAACAACGGAAGACCCTTTTGAACCATGCTAAAGACGTTAAGTTAACTGGGCAGTGGTTTAATCTTCTCTCAGGGTATGTTCACACAAGAGAGGATCACTATACTGGATAACTTTTCGTACCGACTCGAGAAGCTGTCTGATATACTGATCAACACCTATCCGATATGGGACTCTCCACTTTAAAGATCGGCGTGGCGCAGCTTGGCTCCGTTACAGAAATCGCGGCGAAAACAACGTTATTGTGTGAACAGGAACCCTAGCCGCTATGGTTTTCGTGCCGGCACTGTATAGGGTGAACAGTCTTAATCAATGGCTACTTGTGGGACGAACTGTCCACACAAGTACCTTTCGAATTCCTAAAGAAAAGGAAAAAACCAGGCGTACATGCGGAATAGTAACTGAAATAAGAGGAACCTAACTTGGTCTTCGAACGAGCGCGGTGCAAGACTTCTATCTGGAACCACAAGGTGTGATTTCAAAGAAAAACAGACCAATTTTGATTTATACTGAAATTCATACTTGGTTCTGAGGCCTAGGAGAATAAAACAAAAAAAGTCATCTTAACGCTCAATAATGAATAATATCGCTTCTTTTGTTTTATTCCTTGAAGCCTCCATGCCAAGTATGAATCCAAATACATCGAAAATGGCCTGCTGCACGACACGAAGTTAAAAAACAAAACGAACAAACAACCAAAAAACGACCGCATTACCTTCTCGTCTTATTTTGTAGGCAAAACAGAAATAATGCAATTACGGACAGAAATGATACGATAAATGCAGAAAAGTGTGATGTGTGAATCAATCGCACTGCTGTGAGCCAATCGTCAGACTACAAGAATCTGCAGTGATTTCACACGCTCTTAAATAAGCTTGGTATTGCTAAAGAAAAGGAAAACACATTATTTGCCCATACCGTCTGGCTAAATTTTGAGGGAAAGTTTACGGGCGTTACTTTTGACAGAAACTATCGTCTCAATCTTTTGTTATTATGAGTATTAGAGGTATTTACCGTATTGGACTTCTACAAGTCAAGCAACTATGGAGATTATAGCTTGAGGACGCCGGGAGAGCAAATAACAATTTGAGGAGTAGGGAAATAATTGAATTGAAGAGGAGCAGGGCGGGGAGTGAAGTAAATAACAAATTGTGTTTGATGCTAAAACAAGAACGCTCTTAAACAAAGATATAATAAGTCTCGCTTGCTTGGAGATTAGATAAGAAATGAGGAGGCGATTCTACACGAAACAGGATTTCCTCGCTTAACGTTTATCACTTTTTACTTTATTAACGTTCGAGTATTTTTCAGGATATTTACCTTTTATATCGTATTCGACGAGTACGCGTGTATAAATCCTGGCGTAGTCAATCGAACGTTTGGCAATCGAACCTAATCGAAAACCAATCGTTCGATTGACTTTGATTGGGTTCCGTGATCGAAGATGATCGAACTCACCCAAAACTTTTGCCAATCGAACAAAATCGAACGTTCGGAAATGAAAGCTTCAAAATTGTACACAAATCAAGTTTCATTTTGTTTCGAACAAGGTGTTGCTGTTAAAAAATAAGTTATGTGTTAGCTTCAATTTCAAACACAAGTCTCTCGGGCAGATTTCGAAGAGAGTAGAGACCGCAGAAAACATGAAACTAATAATATGCATGATTTCCGCGCCGTGAATCACCAAGGTGCAATTGGAACGATTTGTTGGACATTGAAAGCGGTAGAAGATGCAACTTGCATAATTACGTTACGGCTCAGTTACTTTGAGTCACAGCCGAGTGAGAATTTAATCTTCGACAAATGAATCAACCCTCTTAGGTTTGAGTCAATCAATCAAAGACAAACCTATTCTCGACCTAAATATAACTAGAAAACCTGTCAAATCCGTCAAACCCCTAGAAATGAGATTTAACCGCATTATAAAGAGAATTGGCTTTGACGCCATCGAAGTTAATGTATTCCACTTTTCACTAAAGAGATTTCTCTTTAAAAAAAAGGTTTATTTCATCCCCACTATACTACTAATTTTGTACGTGGCCTGGAGTATTGACGATTCTATAATTCCGATCTCATCTATATTACGCTATCACTGGAACTCATGGCCAAACAATCTTTATCCCCCCACCACCACTTTTTACCTAACATCCATAAAGACCCATTAACTATAGCGATCATATAGAAATCCCTCTATCGTATTTTTCTATTACTACCCAGGCATATACCTGTCACCGGCTATTTTACCCGAAAATATACCCTCTGAACGTTTATCAACACTCCAAATGCAGTCTTACCGAAGTTTAGGAACGATTTGCCGTCTTTTCCCTGTGCCAAAGGCATCTGCAAATTGAGCAGCTTATTCCTTGACGATTCATCAGGAAAAGCGTAATATCTGCTATCAAAAAATATGAAATATAAATGATTTAAATGGTGTTTTTATTGTGTCCAAGGATTGCCTTTTTGAAAATTTGACCTGGGTGGTTTGTACTCCATAACGGTCTAATTTTTTGTAGGGCAAAGGCGTGGTTACATGAATTTTGATCTCGCGGTATCTCAGCTGAAAACACCATTTTGGATTGCTAAAGTAGAGCGCCTCTTATGGCAGATGGTAAACCACTGACAATTTAACATGGTTCGTCAATTCCGTGTGAACAGAGCAAAAATATTGAACGGTTTCTAATGAACCAAGTGTCCAGTCAAAATTTTCAGCCGGTCGAAAACAAGAGAGAATATTTGTTAAGTGCCGCTAAGAACGTAGCCTGTTCTACGTCAACATTCGTGAGTAACAACGTACTGTAGCCTTTCACGTCATAGTTTTTGCAATGGCTCCCGTTGAGGGACTTTTGGAGGGAAACAGTTTTATGGTGAGAGGTGAGGTAACCTCGTGCGAAGCAACCAACGAGAGCACGTGCTGTTGGGAAGAAAAAAATGCTGATGTTAAAATGATATCTTACCTTCGAGGTATGTACACAGATACTATTGTTGCTAGAACAGCCACTGTCATCAACAGCAGTATGATTAATAAAGACTTGAAGTTTCTTTTTACCAGGTTCTGGAAAACAACATGAAACAATGTTTTTTTCTTTCAATTCTGTTTCGTCCTATTACCCTGTCTACTTGTTAAGTTTATGTTTAAAAAAAAATCAGGTCTGCTTTCATCAGAGAATGCGCAAAAACAAAATTTGGTTTTATTCTTACTATCTACTAGAAATAGCCTCCGTGGCAGACGTTAAAAGGGACAGGGGAATTGAAATTCTGGCGAGCGTGAGGGGAGGGCGAGGGGGGTATATAGAAAGAGAACGCTATTGTTTTCTCCTTTTTTTACGCTCAGATTCTAAGCGTGAAAATCGTGATTGGTCTTCAGATTTAATTAAGCGTCAATCTTCGATATACCTTGTTCCGATTTGTTAAAGTCGATTTCTCGCCTATTGAGTAACTTGATCGAACTTTCGCGTTTTCGCGCGGACGTTCTCAATAATTTCATTTCGAGGTTGTCTTGCGGAAATTGTTGTTATAATTACACCAAAAGGAATCTCGGAAAAAACCGAGTCCCAGATAAGATTCGAACCCACGACCTTGTTTTTGTGTTTTTGTCAAAAGAAAATGACCAATTGAACGGTAAAAATCACGTGACCTATTTAACAATGATATAAATAACCTTTTCTCATCTTACAAGGCAAAGTTTCAGTTTGCGGTGATTAGACAACATTTTGGTAATGTAAATTCCAAATAATATGGTATTCCAATCTTGCCCTTAAAGAAAAACGTTTTTTGGTGAAAAAAAGTAAATTGAAGCTTTCCGGAGTGTCTTTTTTTAAGAACACGCATAAAAACTGTAAGTTAAATCTCGTACTTCGTACTCGTTCTTGTCCTCAAATCCAAAGCCCTATATTAATTGCTGGAACGACGAGCACCAAGTCACCGAGTTCATTGACGGGAAGAAAGTTTAGACTGTACCTGAAGCAGCGCCATTAACAAGTCAGTGGTCCGTGGAGGGAAAGAGGGACTAGTAGCTCTGAGTTATGTTCGTCGTGGTCATGATTTAATCAGAAATCCAAGGTAGAGACGCAAATGACTCAGAGATTCAATCCAGTTATTCAAAGTACGATTTTAAAGACGGCGCGCAATCGGACTGTTCTGAAAAAAATCGTCTTTGTCAAAAGTAGTTTCGCAGCCGTCGAACAGTGAATTCATGTGGCTGGGGGGGGGGGGGGGCAAAAAAAATCAAAGTGAGGAACGAATAAGAAACAGGAAATCAATTCAGTTCATGAAAATACGATTTAAAAGACGGCGGGGAAAGGGCCGTTGTATAAAAAACGGGTTTTTGTCAAAAGTAAGTTCGCGCCCGGGAAAAGGGGAATTTGGGGGGGGGGGGGGGGGGGGGTCATGATTTTTAACGAATCAGGAGGGGGCTCGGAGCTAACTTGCCTTTGTCGGCAGGACGGGCTTTATTAAATATTAATCAGGCTCATTCTTCAGCCCTTCTCCCAACTCCTGATAAGTATTACACAGTCCCTTAACAATAGACGATAATAAGATGGCAGGACGACAGTTTCAATCCTCGCATTTCTTAAAATTGTACCAACCTTTGCCTTTGTGAAACGTCCTGCCTCATTTATTTCTCCTACTTGACTCTGTAAAGCCTCTATCTGTCTTTCTTGTTTCTCTACAGTCCGTCAGGCTTTACCCACCTCTTCTTGCAATCTAAGGTTTTCTACATACCGTTCTGCTGGACCCTGCTGTGGAACAGTAGAACAAGCTCATCTATGGTCATGTTACTTTGGATCAATTTAGGTTTCAGGGAAACTGCCCACCTAACCCTCCCCTAAGCTAGCATTAACACTTACTTCTTACTTAGGGCAAAAATGATGACTTAGGGGAGGGGTAAGTGGGAAGTTTCCTAAATTGATCCGGTATATTCTGTATTTGGTTTTCACAAGCAGAATACCGGTAAAACTACTAGCTTAGGCGACATAATATATTGCACACAGATTGGAAAGAGGATACAATACTTTTGAATCCTAAGGGATAGGGCAGCGCAGCTTTGAGATCACTCGCCTTTCCCGGGCCACCAATTTGGCCTTGGTTCAAATTCCGGCGTCAACGCCAAGTGTGGGTTGAGATTGTTGTTTGTTCACTCCTTTGCTCCGAGAGTTTTTTCTTCGGGTACTCCGGGTTTTCCCTCACCTCAAAAGCAAAATTTCCAAATTTAATTTCGACTAGGAATCAGGAGGACGAAGAAGCACTAAGTGGACTTGCCACGGGGGGTTGGGGGGGGGGGGGGGGGGGGGGGGTGTTTGGAGGTGGGGAGCTGACCCTGTTTAAGACAAAATCCGTTCATTTTGCTACTCTTTTTAAAACGAGATTTTTTTCCATGACCTTGTTTAAGACTGTAGCCCAAATGCCCTGTTTAAGGAGATATTCTCTTTTCAGATAGTACAAAATGCAATACAAAACGGGGGAAAATATATTTATTTAATTTGTTTTGGAGTCACATACAAAAAGATTTTTTTTGACGTTGCTGACAGAAAAAAAGTAGATTATTATAAAAGACGTCGTTACATACGCAGAGCGCAAACCGCCAGAATTCACACCCTGCTGAAGACTTCGGGTCTAAAAAGACACCCTGTTCAAGACTCTCAATAGTGAAATTATATACCCTGTTTAAGACTCAAGACACAGAAAACCATACCCTGTTCAGTGGCACATACCCGTATAGGTCCACCCAACCCTCGCTTTAACGTTGACTAACTTCAAAACCGTTTCAGCTATGACCACCGACTTTTCCCACAATTTATGTGAAAATTTATATCACTAAATTAGTTCACTATTCACGATACCACAACCGAATTTGGAAAGCCATGTTTTTCAAACTTTGATTCTTTCTTTAAAAAAGTTTTTTATGTTTTTGCTTATTAAATAATTTATTACATTTATTTTATCCTTATCTTTTCAAATTAATTATAATTGTTAATATAATGCAAGCTTTTCAGTGACAAATTTGAGAAATATAAGAGAGAACATAAAATGACCAAAGGGCAGATGCTGGATTCAATTTTCAACAGTGTTCATCTCTCTGAATCTCATATGTTGTAGATTTTTTTTACTTCTAAGGATCCTTTTATACACGATTGAACTTTTATATCAAGATTACCTCGATTTATACGGGTCTTAAGTAAAATGGAATACATTTAACTAATTCAAAATGGCGGATCCAAGGTGGATGATGGTTCCAGTTCTTCTTTAATAATAAATAGGGACCTCAAGTAACGACGATGACGACGGCAGTGAAAACGTTGCTAAGAAAATGAATTTGAGTTCTTTCAAACTTAATCGCGTCTATTTGGACCCTATAAAGTGTCAAAAGCAGGCGACTCTTCCTGGAGTTCAATGCGTAAGGATTTTATTCAGGTTCAAAAAGAGGAAGGAAAATTCGTCGTCTTCTGTCTACGTCCTCCATAAAGCGTCAAATTAGGAGGTTTCACGTCCTAGTCGTGCAGTGGACGTCAAAGATATGTACCAAAAAGCGTGATGCACGTGCAGAGCGGTTGTTTTTATCATTTTGACTTATTGTGTTTTGAAGTTGTCGTCGTCGTCGTCGTAGTTGCGTAAGCTTCCTAATGACTTCATCATGGCATCGCTGCTATTGTTAAGGATTATTTACCAATTATTCCGCGAGTGTATATGAGATGGTAGATAGCCAAGGAGGCGCCTAGCGCCCAGTTGGCCATAGTCATCTCATATTCAACAAGCGCGAGTAAAATAACTGTTTTATTAGAAACGCCCACAAAATATCGAGAATTCTTCCCGACTTTAATTCTAAAAGCAACCGATTTTTACCTTGTTTTTAATCTTGAGCAGATCCGTACACTCACCAACTTACCATATTTGGAGAGCATGGTATACTGGCTCATATACCATGATGGCTAAGCCAATCAGAGCTCTAGAATTGCATTATCCAATGATTCAGTTTTTAATAATATATGTTAATCAACTTCTTGATTTCATCAAACACCTAAATATTTAAGCACCTTTCACCTTGTGGCTATTTTGAGTAAAATTTGTATTCTCTCAATAAATTCAACAACATAACGTCACGATAACATCAAATTCCGTCATTGTATCAATGAAGTTGTGCCTGGATGTTGGAAATGATGAGTACATACCCCTTTATTTCACCTCCCTCCCCCCGCCGCAGGAAGCAAAAAAAAAACGGTCTGAATAGTGTTAAGGGCTTTGTTTTGCATAGACGTTCAGAGGAATGAAAACTTGAAAAAAAGAAATGTTTAACGCACCATTACAACAGTGCAGGACATTTTCTAATCCATTTTTCTAAAAACTTTTCATTATTTTTTCACCGAACTATTAATTGTTCGGGAATAAAGATTCTCTTCTTTGTCTAGCAGAGGCGGATGGATTATCAAGACAAACAGAGGATTCGGGATAAATGTCTCGAAAGCGAAAGAAAGGTGTAAACCCTGTTTGTTGCGCACATTGGGTGCGGCTTTGTTTATCTGTTTTCCCCTTGGCCTCTCCGGAAAGAAGGAAGGGCCAACAAGGGAATACCTTTCCGAAAATAAACGTTGCTCTCATACAGTTTTAATAGACCTGAAATAATATCATGTGAAAAATTTAGGTTTTTGCATGGTGAACGCACCCTTTCCGTTCTTGTTCCACAGTTTAAAGATTGCAGTTGCCATTTACAAATACTGAACGTACTAACAATACAGGGATTCAAGTACAAAGAAAAAGGCAATATTAACCCGAAGTTTTGCAAGAGACTCAACGAAAGATCTTTTCTTCTGTTGAAAGAGGGTGACGGTTCTGAAGCCTACTGCATCCATGAATCATTTTTGAACACCAACCCGAGCTTTTGACTTACCAATTATCCTATCATTGCAGAAAAAGAAAAACCTCTAAAAGAATTTTGCACGTCTTTCCATCTCAAAGCGATCTTTATCTTTCCTTATATCAAGCTTCGCACACTAATTATATAGTAAACAT